CTTCCTCTTATTTTTGGCTGTATTTTCCTGCAGTGTTGAAATTGTTTTAAATCCTATGACTGGTACTTAAACAGAAGAAATGAAGAATTTCTTTTTAACGAGATTTGAATTCTTGTCTGGCCAGGGTTAGGACAAGATCTCGGGAATTAGGCTTTGAAAGACAACCAGCAGACAGAATCCAAATTTAGTCACGTAGCTACATTCTTTATTTGATTTTTATTCTTACACTGTTGGTTAACATGTAATAGAAACAGACATCATTGTTTGATGTTGTCTGAATTTCTTAAATGAAATATTGTTGCCATTCATTTTTGACTAGTTTTTTTTTTCTCTTTCATCTCTTTTTGTTGTTTTTTATCACAACAATGTGATCAGGTTTTACATTCTGTCCAGTAAATAAACAGCATAGAGAAAAAACAAAGAATTAGTTTCTAACAAGATTTGAACTCCAGTCCTTACCTTTGGAAACATGTTTGATATATTCAGGTGTTTACTATTAAACTACAGATGCTAATCAGCAAATGTCATTCAAATTTAGTCACATGGTGACACTATTATTTGAGCCAAACCAAGAGAGATTTTATTACTCCCCCAAACACTTTTTTTTGGGGACTTAGAAGTAGTAGACATAAATAAGACTTCTAAGTGTAAATAAAAAATATAAAATAATATATATATATATATATATATATATATATATATATATATATATATAATGTATAAATTTCTATATAACAGAACACTGTTAGGCAAATGAATGACAAATTTAAACTCTTTTAAATTAAAAAAAGTTCATCGTTTTGCCACCAACACATAATCTGAAGAGACACTTAGATTTCTATATCCTGCTCCCCTTCCTATATATATAATTCCAATAAAAAACTTTACTTTTATCTTAGGAAGTTTCTCTGTAGAAGATGAAACATGTTACACAGAAATTTTCCAACTTTGTCATTCATTTGCCATATATATATATATATATATATATATATATATATACATACATACATACATACATACATACATGTGTATTTAGGCAGCAATCCTTCTTTCATACACATTTCACTGAATATGACAGACAAGGTGTTTTTATTTAGTTTTTACACAATTTCTCATGCAATCTAATAATTTTTTTCTTTTCGGATAATAAATTATATAAAAACTGTCCGAATGTTTTTTTTTTTTTTTTTATTAGATTGCACGAGAAATTGTATAAAAACTAAATAAAAGCACCTTGTCTGTAATGAAATATATATATATATATATATATATATATATATATATATTTATTACTAAAAAATTATTGGTCAGATTTGAATTAGACCTGAAAATATCAGTATTTAAAAGTGCTCAATTGTATAAATAAAATAAAAATTTAACATGGAGAGCTTTTGAATTTTAAAAAAAAAAAAATATTAGGAAATCATTCAATCACACTACCTTGCTTTCAGCCTTTTTGTAATTTCAGCCAATCTGGGCTAAATAATTTCCTAACGCTTTATTATTTAAAAATAAATAAACGCACAACAGAAACTGTATCAGAGATGGGGGATTATATATGAAATGTACATACATTCATCTTAGTTCATATGGACTCAAAAGGAAAAAGTTTTTGTGTGCATGCATCATGTCATTATTTCCAAGATTTTTCTGGTTTGGAAATCTTATCTGAATGAGAGATCAAAAATAATGACATGATGCATACACACACACAAAAAAGCCCCCTTTTCAGTTCACACGAACCAGGATGAAAGCATGTACATTTCATATAACCCTCCTCCTCCTCTGACACAATTTCAATACTCTTGCTTTTCTCTTTCCCTTCTATTACACCTTGCATTTTGTGTTTGGTTTATTTGTAAATAGTAAAACAGTAAATTATTTAGCCTGGATCATCTGAAGATACTGAAAGGTAGAAACCAAGGTAGTGTGATTGGCTGATCTAATTTTCAATATATATATATATATATATATATATATATATATATATATATATATATATATATCTCAGATCAGCTGATCACACTATCTTGGTTTCTACCTTTCGAAATCTTCAGATAGACCTTTCCATGATCCTCCCACCACCTCTATCACCTTATATTAATCTAAAACTATCCCTCAAAAACTTGTATTAAAAATGGAAGAAACCTAATTCTTTTGTAAGTAGAGATGTGATCTGATGAACTAGGAAAAATATATTTTGTGAGGAAATAAATTATGGAACCTTAAGGTTGTCACTTTTTTAATTATTTAATTAATATTTTTTCTGGATCACATCCTCTTTGTAATTATCCACATGGATTACCAAACCCTTCATTACCTTACTCTCTCTCTCTCATTACATATATATATATATATATATATATGAGAGAGAGAGAGATGAGAAGAATGCTGCTATATGACTAAATTTGAGATTTGCCATCTTTGGTGTCACTGTGATAATTAGAAAGGTGTTTCTGTCTGAATTCCTGGAATGAAGAGTTACCTTATTTACAGGTGT